ACGTCCACGTTCTACACCCTCACCACCTTTTTGCCCTTCCTTAAGCCATGTGTTTGCACTCCTCCGTGAAACCTTAGGACCTTGCTGGTGGCCCCAAATAGTTTTGAAACGTCCGTACCTTACTGGTGGCCCCAAATAGTTTTGAAACCTCCGGACCTTGCTGGTGGCCCCAAATAGTTTTGAAACCTCCGGACCTTGCTGGTGGCCCCAAATAGTTTTGAAACGTTCAGAAATCCACTGTTCTTACACAAGGTGGAAATAGGCGCTTGGTCGATGCTTGAACGTAGGAAGGTGGAACATGGCCGAGACTGGGTCCCAGAGTATGGCTCCGTCGGGGTCGGCCCTCTGGCCACAGGGCTAGCGCCCTGAGCAGGCACGTAACAGAAACCCTGATTCCCGGGTCCCGCCACTAAGCAGCAGCTCTCGGGCGTCCTAGCTTGGCTAAGGGCTAAGCATGTGTCCCACTGACCCCAGAGGTCGCAGCGTGGTTGGGAAGGACTGGGGTGCCTACCCGGTGCGGGTCGCCCCAGCAGCGACCACAGAACACTGGGATACGCGTCTCGCTAGCCACACGAGACAGTCACCCGACCCACCGCGACCCGGAAGGTGGTCAGGATGGCGCGCGCACACGCAGAACCGTCACTCCCATGTTACGTCACAACCGGTCTGGGCCCGCCCCGGCGGTGAGAGGTGAGGGGGCCGCCCTGGGGTAGGCGGGGCGGGAGTATGGGGCGGAAGTGGAGGCGGTGCTTCGTCGAGCTCGGGGCGGGGCCCCGGCTGGCCGTCTCTCGGGCGTCCGCCGGCCCGGCGGGCGCTGGCTCCGGCGCCGAGCTTCCGGGCCGCCGAGGCAAGGGAGAGCCTCAGGCCGGAAGGGCGGGTGGAAGGCGGCTTCTGGCTCTGGCCGGTTTCCGCCCTCGCTTGCTGTGGCTGCCGGGTGCCGCGGAGAAGGGTAGCCGCCTGGCGTTTGTGCAGCCGTGGGGACCGAGAGTGGCGTGCGGGATCCCAAGGCCGCCCAGGCGGGTCGCCGGCCTGCCGGCTGCAGGGCGCTCCTCCCCGCCTACCTCCCCAGTTTCTGCCCGAGCTCTGATCTGCCCTGTCCGACAACTTCCGGACTCCCAGGTAGGGAGGAGCCCCGGGTCAGCACTGCCAACTGCACCGACACCGAACACTCGGCCAGTGTGAGAAAAGCTGCTGACCCGGGGTTCCCTCCCTCGTCTTGGGGAGTATCTGCCCAAGCTCTTCCTGGCACCTGAAATGGTGGGATCTGGGCCAGATCCCCCACACAGTGACTCAAAGCCACCAGCGGTACTGGAACGACGGGGTGCATGGCCCTTCTCCTCCTCTGCCTTCTGAACTGGTTCACAACAGACCGGTGGCTTCAGTCTCAGGTGCCTTCATTTCTTCCCTGTGAGTCCCCTCCACTGTACTTCTCCTGCTCCCTCTGGTTTTCCTGCCTCCCTCTTCAGTGGTGAGACCCAAGGCTGGATCAAGGCCTCCAGGGTAAGTGACCCAAACGCCAAGCCAGGAAAGGCTATGGCATCCCAGGGTGGTAGAGGATGAGTTTCCCAGGGATGAGCCTTCTGCTGAACCAGCCCTCCACCACCTATTTCCACTGCTCCCCAGTCTCAAATGAGACTAATAGGATCTAGAGACGCGGGGGCCTCTTCCAAGACTCAGACAACACCAGGCATGAGTCAGTCAGCAGTAAGGATGAAGAATTACTGTGTCCTCATCTTGGTTGCCCCAGTTCCTGCAGGACAATAGGGTGCGGGCTGCCCAAATTGAGAGGGAAACGTCCTTCTTTCCCCTTGAAGCAGCCCGCCCCTCTAGAAACACTCCTCAAGCCTAGTTCTAGGCTCTTGTAGGGGTCTGCATGGGCATGGGAGGAGTCCCTGAACTATGAGCAGAGCCTCGCAGATGTGGCACAGTGGCTCTAGGAGCTCCAATTCTGGGCCTGCCAGGGGAGTGAGAGCTCTGACAGAAAGGGGAGAAACCTCTCAGTAGACACATGGACCTATCTGATCCCTTTCTGCTGCCCTTTCTGGCAACTTCCCTGGGGAGAGAGGGACCTGCTTCCTCCCAGAACCTCCATCTTGCCACTGTCAGCAGGTAGTTAGGCCAGATGGTCACACACAGCAGCACCGTTCACATGGCAGTGGTGAACGTCAGCACATGGGGCCTTTGGCCTGGGGGTAACCCGCTGCCCACACCACTTTGCCGGCTGCTCTCTGCCAGTCAGATGACACTCAGATGCCATGAGCTGGCCTGCTCTCATCGGGCCTGCTTCCTGAGCATCCCTGGGGCATCCTTCAGAGATTTCCTCCTGGTTGTGGTACTGCCACAACTGTGCCTCTCAAAGCAAGTGGGGCACAGGCTAGTGGTGACAAGATTGGGGCTGGCTCTCCCTGGTGGCTGATCATGGCTGATCCCCTGGTGTCAGGCCATCTCTGAATTGTGGAAATCAGCCCGAATCAGCAGGCCGAAGGCGAGGTGGCCCTTCTGGGGAAGGGACACCCCAGTGGCACTCAAGGGCCAGCACTAGGCATTCCCTTTCCATCCTCAGGCTTGCAGCAAGGGACCTTGCCAAGTCTCCCAGCAGTGGCACTTCTCAGTCATGTTCCTGGGCCCACAGCTGCTTGCCCTCACCAGCCACCACCATGTCCCTTCTCTTCTCAGGAAGAGCTCTACCATCAAGAAAGGCAGCCCAGCACCAGGCCTCGCCCATGGACCCTTCTCAGGACCACCCAACGGCACCAGCAGGGCTGGTCTCCTAAGCCGCAGAGGGCCTGCACGCCCCACCCTTCGGAAGGAGCCATGGTGTTTAGGAGTGGTGAAGGCCGCTCCCTTCAGTGGCCTGGCCCAGAAGGGGGCACTGGTTGCACGGGCCCCCAAAGCATGCTCAGGGCCACCCTACTGCTTATCAGCTTGCTCTGGGGGGCCCGGGGAACAGCCAGTGCCAGTCTCAGCCCAACTCTGGGCCATCCCATGCACCTGACCAGGGCCCACTACCTGAGCATTGGAGATGGCTCTGTGATGGAGTTTGAGTTCCCAGAAGAGAGCGAGGGCATCATTGTGATCACAAGCCAGTACCCAGGCCAGGGCAACAGGACGGGGCCCAACCCCGTGCTGAGGGTCACCTCCCTGGACCCAGAGGTGCTGACCATCAAGAATGTGAGTGCTATAGCCTGGGGCAGCGGCGGCAGCTTCGTGGTGAGCATCCGCTCGGGCCTGCCTGGGATAGCTCCACTCCACATCCAGCTCACGGACCCCCGTGAGGCCCCGCCCAGGCTGATCGAGGAGCGAAGAGATTTCTGCATCAAGGTCTCACCCGCTGAAGACACCCCCACCACCCTCGGCACTGACCTGGTCCACTTCTCAGAGAACCCAATCCTCTACTTGCTTCTGCCTCTTATCTTCGTCAATAAGTGTTCATTTGGGTGCAAAGTGGAGCTTGAGGTGCTGAAGGGGCTCTTGCAGAACCCCCAGCCCATGCTGCTGGGCCTTCTAGGCCAGTTTCTAGTCATGCCCTTCTATGCTTTTCTGATGGCTAAGGTCTTCATGCTGCCCAAGGCCCTGGCTCTGGGCCTCATCATCACTTGCTCGTCGCCTGGCGGCGGGGGGAGCTACCTCTTCAGCCTCCTCCTTGGAGGGGATGTCACTCTGGCCATCTCTATGACTTTCATCTCAACGGTGGCTGCCACTGGCTTCCTGCCACTGTCCTCAGCCGTCTACAGTCGCCTGCTCAGCATCCATGAAACACTCCATGTGCCCATTTCCAAGATCCTGGGGACCTTGCTGTTCATTGCCATCCCCATCGCAGCAGGCGTGGTAATCAAGTCCAAGCTCCCCAAGTTCTCGCAGCTACTGCTGCATGTCATCAAGCCCTTCAGCTTTGTGCTGCTCCTGGGTGGCCTCTTCCTGGCCTACCGCATGGGGGTCTTCATCCTGGCAGGCGTCAGGCTGCCTATCGTGTTGGTAGGCTTCACGGTGCCCCTGGTTGGCCTCCTGGTGGGCTATGGCCTGGCCACATGCCTGAAGCTGCCAGTGGCCCAGCGGCGGACTGTCAGCATTGAGGTGGGGGTGCAGAACAGCCTGCTGGCCTTGGCCATGCTGCAGCTGTCCCTCCGCCGCCTCCAGGCTGACTATGCCTCCCAGGCCCCTTTCCTTGTGGCACTTAGTGGCACCTCAGAGATGCTGGCCTTAGTAATTGGCCACTTCATCTATAGCAGTGTGTGCGCCGTTCCCTGAGGCCCCCTGGGTCAAGCTTTCACCAGGCACCCCTATCCCCCAACCTCCACCAACTGTCCCCACCATTCTTGTGTACCAAAGGCCTTTAGTTCTCATGCACTATGCACAAGGAAAAAAAATCCAGGCTTATTTTTTTTACTTGTTTTTTATTCTCCAGCTTTCAGTGCCAAAGAGGCCATGCTGAATACTGTAGGCAGGCACTGCCCAGAAAATATATTTCAATAAAACAGAGAAGCAAGCTTGGGTCCCTTTCTGTCTTTGCCTTCTGAGGCCTGCGGGTCGGGGAAGGAAAGGCGTGGTGTGGCCAGGTAGGTGTGGGTCAGGGTGGAGGGCTGGCTTGGGCGACACAGTGACCTCTGGCCAGAACTAGCCCTCCTCGCCCCTGCATCGCCTCTGAGAGCTGTTATCTCTCTGTTCTAGAAGGAGCAGTGGGAAGGGCAGAGGCCAGACTCTCCCCGCCAGATATCAAGCTCAGTTGCTTTTCCACATGTGGACTAAAAAGGAGGCCAGCGGGTGGCGAAGTGAGCTCGGCGGGGCCGGGTCTTCTGCGGGCTCCTTGAGAGGCAGGGGATGGGATGGGCATCAGCGTTGACCTGCTCTGCCCGCGGGCAGGGGCACGCGAACTCCCGGCACGCCGTCTCCTCAGGCCCAGCTCGTCCCTCCACCCTTTCCCCTCTCCGCGGGCTTCCCGGCTCCGTTGCCCCGGGGTCCGCGGAGGACGGTCCAGATTATGGGGGGAGGGGCCTGCGACGCCGAGGGGCGGGGCTGCGACGCCGGGCGCGACGGCCCTAGTGGACGCCTCGGCGGCCGCCATGCAGCTAACGGTGAAGGCACTCCAGGGCCGCGAGTGCAGCCTTCAGGTAGCATCGCTGGGCTGGGTCGCGCGGTCGGCCCCGCGGGCGCGGGATCGGGCCGCGGGCGGGGACAGACCTGGCGGGCCGGCCGCCCCGGGAGAGATCGGGAGAGCCGTCCTCCGCGCGGGCCGCGGCCTTACCTCCCGCCCACCTTTCTCGGCCGGGACAGGTGTCAGAGGACGAACTGGTGTCCACGCTGAAACATCTGGTCTCCGAGAAGCTGAACATCCCTGTCTGCCAGCAGCGGCTGCTGTTCAAGGGCAAGGCCCTGGCAGGTAACCAGGGAAAGGGGACGCCGGGGGAGATCCGTGGGAAGTCAGGGGACAGGGCGTCCAGCCCAGGCCCGGGCAGCAGTGTAGGTGGAGGGGGCTCTGGCTAGGTGACCCTCCCACCCCGGGAGGCCACCGCGGCGCTTCACCTAGGCTCCCCGAGGCCTCGCAGCGCCGTGGGCAGTGCGACCGTGGGCTTCATCAGGCTCTCTCTCTCTCTCTCTCTCGGACAGATGGGAAAAGACTCTCCGATTACAGCGTCGGGCCGAATTCCAAGCTCAACCTAGTGGTCAAACCTCTGGAGAAGGTGTTACTGGAAGAAAGCACCGCGCGGAAAACGGCCGAGGCCCCGGCCCCACCGCCCGCCGCCTGGCCGCTCATTTCCAGAGTCCTGGCCCGGCACTTCAGCGCCGCCGATGCCAGCAGAGTCCTGGATCAACTCCAGAGGGTGAGAATCGTGGCCCGGGACCTCTGCGTCCTGCTCACCTGCCTCTGTCCCAGCGCCCCCCACCCAGTCGCACCCCTGAATCCTTCTGGCTTTCTCTCTTCAGGATTATGAGCGGTCCCTGAGCCGCCTGACGCTGGATGACATTGAACGCTTGGCTGGCCGCTTCCTGCACCCCGAAGCGACTGAAGCTATGGAGAAGGGGTTCTCCAAGTAGGATTCTCAGAGTGTGGGGAGGAGCCTGGCCGGGCCACAAGCTGCATGTAGCATTAAATGTCTTCTTGTATTGCAACTTGGCTCATAATACTGCCTGGCGGGTACCCGGGTACCTGTATCTGGCTCATGTTAGGTGCCAGGCCCCACTCAAAGCTCTTGACCTGGGTTGGCTCCCACATGTTGCACAAAAGGTGAGACAGCCAAGGCTCCTAGCGGGGAAATTGAGGAGGCAGATTCTGAGTCCAGCCAGCTTCCAGAAGTGCTTCAGGGTGAGAGGGAGAAAGGGGTCGTTCAGACGGGTTCTGAGGGCACGGGCGGCCATGAACATTCCAGGTTTAGCCCACTGAGGAGAAACCCTCGAGCAATACCTTTTCCAGGCCTGGAAGGGGAAGCAGCTAGCCCCTGATGCCCAATCCTGTCACCTCATCCTTGGCAGGTCCAGCATTGGCAAGGGTTCAGGTGACGGCCAGCCTTGGGCCCCCTAAGCAGCTGCAACCCGTGTGCACTCAGAGGGAAGGCGGGCCGGGGAGTCTGGGATGTCACCCGGCTCTGGGGAGTGACCTTAGGCAAGTCTCTGTGCTTCGTTGGTCCCCAGCCATCGACTCTGCCTAGTGAGGGCTCCTCTTGAGACTCTCTCAGTTTCCTTTAGCTCCAAAGCCTGGGGTTAGGAGTCTGCAGGCATCCTACCCCTGTGTCCCAGATACAAACTGAGGCCAAATGCTGAGTGATGGCCAAGCGTGGCCCAGAGACAGAGTGTCCTGGCCCTTAGTGTCACAGTTTTTCTCTGGGCACCCCCTTCTGCTTGTCTCCTCTCAGACACAAGCGGTCCGTGACCTTTAGAGATGACAGGTGACGGTCTCGAGGTGACTCGAGCAGGCCCCTGTACCCTTTGCCCATCCTCTGCCACATGTGGACAGGGCCTCCCACTGTACAAACTATTCACTGTCTGAGAGGGAACCTGGGTGGGGGCAGAAACTGGGGGGTGGGCCGTAGAGATCGTCCAGGCACCTGCTACTCGGAGGAGGGCACCTGGGCCACCCTCCAGCCTGGGCCTCATGGGGTAAGTGCTGGGTCCCCAGATGGGGAGGATGGACAGTGGCTCGAGGGCCCAAGGCTTTGAAGAGCAGGTGGAAGTCCATGGTTCCACCCAGGAGCTGGGCATGCACTGCCGCAGGGCCCATGCAATAGACTTCCCTACGCTTTCATTTCTTTGCAGTCAGGAAATTTTATATTGACCTTTTCAGTCACACTAGAGGTGTATGTGAGACTTTGATCTGAAAGGAACTCTATTAGCTGAGCTGCTTTTGGTTTCCCCATCATTGATTTAACCATTACAGGACATTGGTTTAAGCAATAAAGGAAAGATATTGGTTTGCGAAACTGAGAAGTCCAGGGGTATTGGCAGCAGATAAACGATTTCCCCAAATACCCAGTTTCTTCCTACCTCCCCTCTGCACTCTGCAGTGTCTGCTTCATCCCAGGCCTCTACCTCAGGATCAGAAGATGGCTGCCTGCAGCTTCCACCGAACCCCTCGGTCACAGCCAGCATGGAGCACCTTCCCGTCCTCTAGCGTAGCTTCCTCCTCAGCTGCCCCAGCAAATAAATGTTGTCCCTTTTGGATGCTTAGAACCGAGTGCCTCCATCATTTTGTCGGGGGCTTGGGTGGGCTGTGGAAGGGAGAGGGCGACTCTCTCAGAAAGGGCGGGTCCTCGGGGAGGGCTGACGCCTACAGACAGGTCTTGTCGACAGACACAAGAGACAGGTGGTGAGTCTTGTGTGCCTCCCAGCTGAGCGGTGTCGACCCCATGGTGACTAGGAGCCATCTTCTGGGTGCAGGAAGTCGTCGGGGACCTCAGGCTGCCCATGGAGACAGGGGTGGCATCTCCCAGGTGTATAGCAGGTGCCTTGCTGACCGACGGGCCCGATTCCACGGCCCTGTGTGGCTTTCCACAACGTTCCAGAGGGCCTGTGGACACACTGTCCCAGACACTGCAAGGATGCATGAAATTACTTCCCAGGGAGCATGACCGAAGAAAGAGGGGAAAGGACTGAACCTGGGGGGACTTCACCAATTGGAGACATTGCAGAGGCCGAGGCGCCCCTGCAGACGCAAGGCCACAGGGAGAGCTTGGTGTCAGAGGCCAGGAAGGCCCCTCCAGCCAGGGTACAGAGTGTCTAGTGCTGCCAGGAAGCAAAAGCGAGGGCAGCCTCCTCTCAAGCTAACAAGGTCATTGTTGATGTTTTAGGGCAAGAAGTCACTGCATGGTGGAGAGGGGGAAAGGTCTTGCCAGTGACTGGAGACCCCCGGTTCCAGAAACTTGTCTGGGCAGGAGTGTGTAGCTACAGGGGGTAGGGGGGAGACAGGGAAGAGGCGCTAGGATGAGAGATGGGAGGCCGGTGGGAAGGGGCCATGGAGGCTCTGGTCTAGGCCTTGTGCCATCATGACAGGATAGAATGGCCACGGGCTGCACCCTGCCTTTGTCCTTAGGTTCTGGGGGGGGGGGGTTGTGCCCCCATGTACCCTGCAGGCTCCAAATGCTGCAATATCCTTCCACAGGGGCCGGAATGTTTATGGCCAGCACTGTGCCCCTTGAGCCAAGTGTCTGCCCCAGAGGTGGGCACTGACCCCCCCCCATTACCCCCCCATCCCCTGGCCTGAGACCACTCTCTCCTCCTCGTGGAGCGGCCTTGAAACAGCCCCACTAGGAGATAGCAGGGCGAGTCAAACGCCTAGCTGAAGTGGCCCCAGACAGCAACGGTCTGGCACCTGGAATAAGATGCCTGTGGTGCCACTTGCCATGGGCACACTGGCAGAGGGGCAGGCTCAGAGGAAAGCAGCGTTTCCTTTGGAGTGGGGCTCGCTGAGCTGGAAAATGCCCAGAAAATGATCAGCTGCTGCGCGCACGATTTGCTGGCACCTTGCTTTCCATGCAGGCCTGGACAAAAGCCAGCCTCACCAGGTCCAGTAGGTCTGACAAGTGCTGCTCAGGACGGGTCAGGCCCTGCCAGCAGGAGGTGTGAAGGCCATGGCAGCCTCTGTGCCCTGAGCCTTGGAAAGCCTGTAGGAGAGATGCTCAGCCCTCTCCCCCTGTCCGCCTCCAGGGTCCAGCCAGAGCGGCCTCCCGGAGCTACTGGGGGCCTGCCCTGGGCCACCTCTTCTGCCTGCCTTCTCCAACTTTTCTTTTTTTTTTTATTGTATTTAATTTTATTTTTTTCCTATCCAACTTTTCTTTTTTTTTTTCCTCCCCAACTTTTCCTTCCACTTCCCCTAGCTCTGGGCTTCCCTTTTGCTCAGTTGATAAAGGATCCGCCTGTATTGCAGGAGACCCCGGTTCAGTTCTTAGATCGGGAAGATCCGCTGGAGAAGGGACAGGCTACCCACTCCAGTATTCTTGGGCTTCCCTGGTGGCTCAGCTGGGAAAGAATCTGCCTGCAATGAGGGAGACCTGGGTTTGTATCCCTGGGCTGGGAAGATCGCCTGGAGAAGGGACCGGCTACCCACTCCAGTATTCTGGCCTGGAAGATTCCAGGGACTACAGTCCATGGGGTCACAGAGAGTCGGACACGACTGAGCGGCTTTCACTTTCACTTTTCACCTGTGCTGGCTCTCCCCCAACACACCCATCTCCTACTCTTGGGGGACCCTGAGGCTCCGTCCCCAGATCTCTTCTCTGGATCTCTCACTTCCTGGGGAACCTGTCTGCCTTCATTGCCATTTCTGTGCTTTGTGTCCATGTCTGCAGCTCACCCCAGACCTGTCTCTGAGCTTCAGGCCACAGCTCTGGGTTGTGACTCTGAAACCGTGCCCAGCTTCCCTGCAGACACCTCCTGTCACCCCTTTAGTGCTTGTGATGTCGGTGGCACGGGGACTGGAAGACACAGTTCCTTCCTGCCTGGCACCCATGTGCCCAAGGTGAAAGGCAACACCACTGGGTCAGGCTTTTGACAACAGAAAGTGGGAGGCCACCTTCGCCTCTCCTAACTCTCCCTTGTCCACGGGCAATCAGGCAACAATGCTTTTGGAAGAGTCCAGGGCACTGGCCTCATAGCAAGTCCCAGGGTCTGGATTCACCTCCTTCCCTCCTGGTTAGATTCAGCTTAGGCTTTCTGAGGAGAGCGGCCACCCAGGGCAGGCTGTGTCCCTCCGCACACAGTGTGAGGGAGGCCCGGTTTGATCACTCGATCTCTCCCTTGTAAAGCTGCCTTCTCCCTTCCTAATGCACAGGTCATCTGGGTGATATCTTGAGACCCAGGGACTCTCTTTTCCCCAACAACCTCCCTCTCATGGTCTTACCACTCAAGGATGCTCCCCAGCTGTATCAGTTCAATTGGACGAATTGCACTGGTGGTTGCAAAATGGTGATTTTCTTGTGCTTTCTTGCTTTCTACAATTGCTAGTTGGCATTTCTCTACAAAGAGCTTTCCCTTTTCCCTGTTGTCTTTTCTTAGTTTTCACGGTGGACACTTTTTTTTTTTATTCAATAACTTAGAATCTAAGAGTGTCATTTTGGGGACAGTTTTTACTGGACTGTAGCATACATACAGTAATAGGCATAAGTCATCAATATACAGCTCAACAGAATTTTACAGTGAATACACCCATGTGTGCATCCCCTCCAGATTGAAATATATACATAATGTCTGCATATATATTACCTTCCCTGGTGCCTCCTCTCCAAAAAGTTTAATAACCTTTTGGGTGCTCAAATTGTTCTAGCTTTGGTTCTTTCCAGTTGGCTCCCATGTCTCTTTCATATACCCCATCCTTTTCCTTTTCAAGCATATCCTTCCTTTCTGACACTACAAGGTGCTCCAGGCTCCTCTTGTATTTTTTCCGGACCCATACCTAGAATCTTCCATTTCTCCAAGGAGCTCTGGTTCCTTTTAATGGAGACTGGTGTTGAGAACCAAGTTCTGGGTACAGGGAACATTCTTTGCTACTGGAGTGTCATTGCTTCTAGACTCTCACTGGACAAAACTAGGCAATCTATTTTTTTAAGAATTCATACTGTGATCCCCAATTCCAGTCTGGTAGCACAGTTCTATCTCAGCTTCCCTCATTCCACATTGATGTTCTTAACAACAACAACAACAACAACAACAACAAAAACAGTATATGGATATGTTTACTCATCTCTTCTAGTGGATACATTCTACCTTGCAGTATACCCAAAGTAGCTTCACAATCACCTCAGGACTATCATTACCAACAATATGCATACTGAGAATAAAACTGATTCTTTCTGTCCTTAGAATATATCCCATAAAGGGAGCACTGTCAGAGAGTGAGTTTGAAAGTTTCCTGACTTATTTTCTCTGTGTGGCTTTGTTACTAACTGGATATGCAGTTAGGCTCACTTACTTTTGTTTTTATTCCATTTTAGCATTTTTCCCCTCTTTCAAATGTGTTTTTGAACATATAAAATATGTTATGGTTCAAAGTCAAAACTACACAAAAAGATATTAATATATTATAAGATATCCTATACCCATCTCAACCCCGTATCAGTGAGAATTTTCACTAGTTTCAGGGTTCTCTGTCCTCTATTTTTTTCCCAATAAGCATGTGCATCTGTGAATGTGTGTGCACAGGTCATTTGCACTCAGCTTTTTTTTTTTCTCACATAACAATATATCTTGGAAATCATTTCATTTTTCCTTTTTTATTTCATTTCTCATTAGAGATTTTCATTGTTTTTCACTGCTGCTTAGGACTGTTGTATGAATGAACCACAAGTGATTTCACCAATTCCATCCTGATGGACATATGTGTTAAGTCCAGTTGTTTTTTCTTTTTTTTGGGGGGGGGGTACCAAATTACTTTATTTGAAAGAATGGTACTAAAGAAAGAACTTAAGTAGATGTTTTGTTACAACTTGTAGAAAAGGTGAAGGTAACCCAAATATGCATGCACTGCCTTGGTGACCAGGAGTCACCCCTGTGGCAGTGGGAAGCCAGCCTGAGGCTTAGCTCTCACTGTGTCCCAGGGTGTGCTTGTCAAAGAGGTACTCTGCCATGCCAGATCCAGGGGCCCCCATCGTGCGCAAGTTGGTTATGTGGTCACCCAGTTCTTTGATGGCTTCCACCTGCTCATTCAGGTAATGAGTCTCAATGAAATCACACAGATGGGGATCGTTTTTTTCAGTGGCCAGTTTGTGCAGTTCCGGTAGTGATTGATTCACACTTCTTTCCAAGCACAGCGCACATTCCATTGCATTCAGCCCATTCTCCCAGTCATCACGGTCTGGTTTCTTGATATCCTGAAGCAAGATTCGGCCGCCTCGCTGGTTCTGCAGCTTCATTAGTCTCTCAGCATGTTCCCTCTCCTCATGAGATTGGTGAAGAAAATACTTGGCAAAGTTCTTCAAAGCCACATCATCGCGGTCAAAATAGTAGGACATGGACAGGTACACATAGGAGGCGTAGAGCTCCAGGTTGATCTGGCGGTTGATGGAGGCCTCCGAGTCCTGGTGGTAGTTCTGGCGCACCTGCGAGGGGGATGTGGTCGTCATGGCGGGCGGATGAGAAGGGGCGGTGGCGGCGACGGCGACGGCTGCGCTGCGCTGCGCTGGAGCGGCGGCAGGGACCTTGGGTCGGTCGGAGGGTGTTGTCAAGTGGTGACGAGGGCTGGCTCTGAGTAGCCTGCCGGGGCTGGCGGGGGACGAGCAGCAGGGTTCCGTTCAAGCACTGTTGAAGCAGGAAACCGCGGCGACTCTCCGAGAAGACTGTCTGTTTTTTCTTTTTTAAAATTTTGGGCTGTGCTGTGTCTTTGTTGCTGCACGTGGGCTCTCTCTAGTTACAGTGCAAGGCTTTCACATTACCATGACTTCTGTTGTTGTGGAGCATGGGTTCTAGGGTGCGTGGGATTCAGTCGTTGTGGCACAGGGGCTCAGTAGTTGTGGAGCACCTGCTTAGTTGCCCCACAGCATGTGAAATCTTAGACCAGGGATCGAACCCATGTCCCTGCATTGGCAGGTAGATTCTTAACCACTGGACCACCAGGGAAGTCCAATGGACGTGGACACCAAGTCCATGTCCAATAGTTTTCTATTACTATTTATATTACGCTAAGTAACAGAGGATAAGGTGGTTGGATGGCATCACCTACTCAATGGACATGAGTTTGAGTTGGTGATGGACAGGGAGGCCTGGCGTGCTGCAGTCCATGGGGTCTCAAAGAGTCAGACACAACTGAGCCACTGAATTGAACTGAACTGAAGTAATTTTGTGTATATATTGTTTCATATTTGTGAAGTAACTGGTACATGTGGCATTGCTAGGCCCAAGACACTGAGTTTTTGAGGGGATGAGAAGGAGGCGACAGAGGATGAGATGGTTGGATGGCATCACCGACTCAGGACATGAGTTTGAGCAAACTCTGGGAGATGGTGAAGGACAGGGAAGCCTGGTGTGCTGCAGTCCATGGGGTCACAGAGTCAGACACGACTGAGCACACAGAATGCTGTTTCATCCAACAAGAAACAAACCACCTACTGCATAAACTACACAGAAAAGATATCAGAGACAATACAATGACAGTATAGAAGTGAACAAACTGATAATTTCAGATTATTAGAAATACAGCAAACTGAAATGGGCAAATGTGATGAAGAGTGCCTGGCGGTAGTATGTTAGATTGGTGATCCCAAAGGCCTCTTGGAGTTGACACTGGAGACTAGATCTTAATGACAAGAAGGAACCAGCCACGGGAATGTCTGGAGACAGTCTTCCAAAAAGGAAAAGTAAGTCCAAAGGGATGGGGGCAGGCCACCCTTAGTCAGGAGCAGAGAGAAGTCCCTAAAGGCTGCACAGAGCAGGGAAGCAAGCAGGTAGAGGAATCCTGAGCCGGGTCACACAGGCCTTTTATAAGCTACAGGAAGGAGTTTGTCTTTGGTTTCAAAGACAACAGGAAACTGTTTTAGTACTTTAAAAGGGACATGATATGATGTGATATATATTAAAAATTAAGAAAAAAATTAAGAACTGATTCTACTGTGGAAAACAGGATGTAGAGGAGCAAGCATAGAATAAAACTAGTCAGAAAGCTGTTAAAGGGGCTCCCCTGGTGAAAAAAAAAAAAAAGTGAAAATAGTAGTCACTCCGTTGTGTCCCACTCCAGGCTCCTCTGTCCATGAAATTCTCCAGGCAAGAATACTGAAGTGGGTAGACATTCCCTTCTCCAAGGGATCTTCCCCACCCAGGGATCAAACCCGGGTCTCCTGCACTGCAGGCAGATTCTTTACCATCTTAACCACCAGGGAAGCCCCAGTGGTAGAGAATCCGCCTGCCAATGCAGGGGACTTGGAAGCGCTGATCCAGGAAGATCCCACATGCTTGGGAACCACTAAACCAGGCACCACAACTACTGAGACTGTGCTCTAGAGCCCACACGCCCTAGAGCCTGAGCTCCGCCAACAAGAGAAGCCACTGCAATAAGCCCACTTGCTGCAACTAGAGAAAAGCCCTCACAGCAAGAAGACCCAGAACAGTCAGAAACAAATAAAATTATATGTGAAAAAAGAAAGCTTTTCAAGGAGTTCAGGGAGATAGGGTGGCCACCGGTGGAGACTAGCAATGAAGGGGGAGAGGGTAGGCTGATTCAGGATGGATTTTGAGGGGTGATCCAACAGGCTTTGATAACCTACTTCACCTTTATGCCCTTCCTTATGATTACAAAGGAGGAAAACAGAAAACTAACAGGCCTATCACCATCAGAAATCTCATGTCACAAAAACTTATTTTTGATTAAAAATGCCGTATAAGGTTACTGTCAAAAACGTGAAGGAGAACAGAAAAGGGAAGCGAAAATCGAGTCATGCAGTTTGCGAATGGCCCGAGCTGTGGGAAAGAAAGTGTTAGTCGCTCAGTCGTGCCCGACTCTGTGGTTTAGTCAGTAAGTTGTGTCCGACTCTTGCGACCCCACGAACTATGGCCCCCCAGGCTCCTCTGTCCATAGGATTCTCCAGGCAGGAATACTGGAGTGGGTTGCCATTTCCTCCTCCAGAGGATCTTCCTGACCCAGGGATCAAACCCGGATCTCTTGCATGGCAGGCAGATTCTTTACCCACTGAGCTACAAGGGAAGCCCCGAACTGTGGAAGGGAGACTTTTCTCTGCGGCCAACGGAGACCGCCCCCTCGGCCGGCCGGCTCCACCGAACCTGTTTGCGCAGGCGCGCGGGGCGGGGTCGACGCGCGGGGCGGGGTCGACGCGTGGGGCGGGGTCGACGCGCGGGGCGGGGTCGGCGCTTCAGGAAGGAGCCGCAGTTTCTCAGCCGCCTGCGGAGAGGGCGGGCGACGCCGAGCCCGGAGCCCATGGGTACAGTTGGAGGCGGAGCACGGCAGCCATGCAGGAGGCTGGCGGGGGCGCAGGCGGAGGCAGCCGGGCGGGTGGCGCGGAAAGCCAGGGCCGGCGGGGTGTCGGGGTTTGCCGGAGTGGACTCCGCAGCACGGGTGCTACTTCCGCTGCAGACCACGGAGCTCCGGGTGTCGCGCCGGCCCAGCACTATTTGGGGCTGGGTGGAGACCCGTGGTCCCCGGCCCAAAGTCCGGGAAGCCGACCATGCGTATTGTATCCTACTCGAGGGGCAGTGCGGATTGGGCTGGGGGCTGCCTGCAGTAGGAGGTGGGATAAACGGACCGGCGGGTCAGGGGCTGTTGGGGAGAGGAATGGCCGGGGTGCCTGGGGCGGGCAGAGAATAGAGAGTTGAAGGGAGACTGGAGGCGGGGATGGGCCGGGGTGGCTTGGGTCGAGGGGAGAAATGGGATCACGGGGCAACGGGGTGGCTGGGCTGGGTTAGGGCTACGAGTGGCCCGGAGAGGCTGGAAGCGGTTCTGAGACAAGGCCCAGAGCTCCAAATCCTTGTGGGTGGTACCTTAACCGAGTCTCCATCAGCACCCTAAACGTGCCTTTCCCGTCCGCCTTGGAGGCAGAGATTGCCTGTGGGTCCCTGGCCCCAGATGCCGAACCTCACCGTGGGGCGGTTGGGAAGGAGCTCACAGTGAGCGGCAGTGTCCTAGCGGTGTAAGTTGGAAAAGGGGCTGGTTGGAAGTGGTAGAAAGTGACCAAGCTCGCCGGGGGTGCTCTATTTGGACACACTTCAAGGGCTGCGTTTATGGAGGTGACGCAGTGCGCTGGGCCCATCTCCACCTTGATTTTCTTTTTCTGTCACTTTCAGCTGCTGGAGAGCTGAAGATTGCCGCCTCCTTCGAATCTCCATTGTCAACTTTCTGGACCAGCTTTCTCTGGTGATGCGAACCATGCAGCGCTTTGGGCCCCCTGTTGCCCGCTAAGCCAGGGCTAGGGAAAGGGGGGTTAAGGTCTGACCTGGTGGCCCTTCCTAGACAGTGTGCATCCTTACTAGGGCAGTGATTCCTGCATTAGTTGCTGAGTTATTATGGGGACATCATCTTTTGCTTGTAGTGGCCCTTGGGTGCTCAAGGTCCACTTGCATTGTTTGGTGCTTAAATGTTTCTTAACTACTGAAAATAAAATTGACGTATGATGAGTTTATTTTCAACTATAGCACCCTCAAAATTCTTGCCTTTGTCCTTAGATTGGAAGGTTCTGTGATTCAGATAGTCAAGTAGTACAGTGTAAGTGAAGATAATCTAAGAAATGGAGGAGAATAGGTCCTGTCTCATTCAGTTATTAGCTACTGTCAATATTTTGGAGCATTTTCTGAGTTTTAAAGTTACATAGTAAACGTGTAACAATAATATTTCATATTGTGCAAGTTTAGCATTTTTCCTGGTATTTCTCATCTAACATGAACTTTTTTCTAAGAACTCTTCAAAATCATTATTGAACGTTTAAACTATTTTCAGTCTTTGCCATATTATAGGTAATGATTCAGTGGAATGCTTGTATATAGATCTTTGCATGAATGATTAAGATTACAAGAAGTAGAATTAGTTAAATATTTAAAGCTCTCAATCTGAAGTATGTGAAATTATTCTCTATAAAATACCCTCCCACCAGAATTCTGGTTTCCCCCACATTAGTGTCACCATTAGGGGCTTCCCAGGTGGTGTAGTAGTAAAGAATCCACCTGCCAGTGTGGGAGGTGCAAGAGATGAGGGTTTGATCCCTGGTCCAGAAGATCCCCTGGAGGAGGAAATGGCAACCCACTCCATTATTCTTGCCTGGGGAATCCCATGGACAGAGGAGCCTGGTGGGAGTCCATGGAGTCGAAAAGACTCAGACACAGTTGAGGGACTCAGCACAGCACAGCACTGCACAGGGGCACAATGACTGCAATGCACTTGGGACAGGAAAGAGTTGGCAGACATAAAGGTGTTTGGTGGCCATGAAGCTCTGGACCATTTTGAACAGAATGGGGACAAGGGCCACCATGTTTATTAACAGGGTCCCGGTGCCTCCCATGGTGAGAAGAGGCTCAGGGCAGCCAGGGCAGAAATGGGGAGACTGGCATCCAGGCAAGAGACAAGGGCAGCTTGGACCACTCAGGGGCAGTGGAGGTGGGGAGAAGGGAGTGGCTTCTGAACATGTCTTAATGGTGGAGCCACCCGGCCTCGTTGATGGATTGGACATGGCCGCCCTGGACCACCTCAGATCCTCAGAAACCCCACAAGAAGTCACCTTTCCTCCCGTAGATGGCATTCAGCTCAAGCAGAGTCTGACAGTCTCCCCACCTGCTTCCACCTGCCCCGAGAACAAAGCCACACGCCAACTCTGTTTCCCAACATTTAATTAGGAAAAAAAATGACAGGGTCAAAGAAAATCTCATGCAGAAAAGAAAAAGGGGGCAAATCGGGTTTGTAGGAGCATGGACCAGGGCCGGGTTCCTCCAAGGAGGCAGAAGAACAAAGGAGTAAGGCACTGCCACCTCTGCGCAGGGCAGGGCAGCGGAGGGTGAGTGGTCCAGGGGGCGTGCAGACCCCACAGACGGAGTTTGGCAGCAGGGCCCAGAGGAGCAGAGTCTGGTGCCCCCAGGCCCAGATCTGGCCCTGGCAGGAGCTGATTCAAGCTCTCCAGGCCTCAGAGAACACGGCCTGGGAGGAGGCCCAGGCCCAGCCCGAGAAGTCTGGACGGGCTTCTGTGTCAGCTGCAGGGGTACCCCTTCTGCAGAGTCGTAGTCTGAGGGCACCTTTGGTGCCTTGCCCACCCCGAGTGCTGCTGGTGTCCAGGCCCTCTTTTGGAGATGGGCGGGGGCAGCCAGGGGAAGGGGCAGGGCTAGAGGTGAGGCCAAGGCTGACCCTGTCTCAAGGGGAGCCGGGAGGACTCAAGGAGAGGAGGTGAGTGAGGTTGGGACATCTGGGGCAGGGGGGGCGGGTAAGGGGGAACGCTTATTTACAGATGGAGAGGTGAGTGGAGATAAATTAAATAAATAGGTGGTTGGGGCATAAATAGCAAGGGGTGATCACCAGACTGGGCAGGAGAGCAGGGGGAGGGTGGGGGTATTGCTGCTGCTGTGGTGGGGGGCTTGGTCCGGTCGCCCCCTCCCCATGCAGGGCCCAAAGCAAGGCACTAATGAAGGGCCCCGGGCTGTGCTGGGGGTGTCTCGGCCCGGTTCCACCTGATCCGAGGCTCAGCCCGGGACCCAGGCCTGAGACGCCCCCTGGACGGGAGACTGTCTCAGGACTGAGATGCACCCTTCTCTCCGGGTCGGCCGCCCTTAGCTGTTGCTGGACACGAGGCCAATGATCTGCTCCAGCTTCTGGCGCAGCTTGTGTTTCCGACAAGAGGCATCTCGGTCCAGGGCGCTGAGAACCTGTGAAGCAGGCCCCGAGCTGGGCTCTCAGGGGCGGCGGGCTGTTCCTCCCAGCCAAGCCCCCTGCTCCTCAGGGCAAGCTTTCCCCTCCCTCAGGCCTCAGGGTGTCCTTCCCTGCTGGCCAGGACCCTGGGCACGTGGCCTTCGAACAGCCCCTCTTTGACCCCAAATCCTCCTCCAACCGCACAACTCTCGTCCCTCCTCTCCATGGCCAGCATGCAGCCCTGTCCAGGGGTGATGTGGACTCGAGGCTTCCCTTTCCCGTCCCCTGCAGACCCCCAATCCCACCCTAGACCTCTCCCATCCAAAGCAGCAGGCCTTCTCGGGCCTCATCTCCATTGACCATGGGCAGCACCCGATAGCCCATTACTCCTCCTGACAACTGGGGGGGGGGGGGGGGGGGTCCTCACGCATGTGATCCGGGCCCGTGTGGCACTTGGTGGGGAGTGTCCCTCCCGACCCTCCTCAAGACTCCACAGCCAGCTCCCCTTCTGCTCTGCCGTGTCAGAGTGTCCCAGGACCCCAGGGCTCAGTGCCTGGGCCATGGATCCATCTAGCTGCCCGGGGAACCCCTTGGTGAGCTCCTCCAGGCTCAGGGCTCTCAGGCCTGTGTCCAGCTGAGGTTCACCGGTTCTCATCTCCAACCAGGAGCCCAGTCCTGAAGCCCACCCTCTGGCTTCCCTGTCTACTGAGGCTCCAGGCACAAATCAGGCAGGTGGCCTGACCCTGCCCACCTCTGGCCCCCACTGCGTTCCTGGCCCTTTACTTTCTCCCAACCAGAACTTGGTGCTTCAGCCAGTAGCTTCTCTCCTGGGGCCCTCACCTCCCCACATCTACAGAGTGTCACGTTTGCCATCCTGAGGGCTTGTTTGTGGGAGGAATTGTGAGTAATCCAAGAGCTGGTACCCCTGACTCCCATCACACCCCTGCTTTTGCAACTGGCTGCACTCTCAAACTCGAGGGGCCTGCGGGGGTGGCACGCACCTCCTGACGGTACTTGGTGACGTAGAAATAGAGCTCACTGAGTGCACTCAGGACATTGAAGTCACTTGCATGGAGACGGGACTGCTCCACCAGATACGCATCCATGTCCTGGTCACTGATGGATGCCATCTTGGCTATGTCCCGGTAGTACCTAATGGGATCCCGAAGAAGTCATGCTGGCATCTGCTGCAAAAGTCAAAGCCCTTGTCCTGGCTGCCAGGCCAGCCTCTGGGACTCCTTCCTGAAGGTGGCCCTCCATTAATATGAGCCAGCCTGGGCAGGGCTAGCTTCTACCCTCACCCAGTAGCTATGTCCTGTGGGTGTCCAGGCCCCCCACCCACACACACTGGGGCCCACCTCTCCACCCAGCTCTTGTAGTTGGGGATGTCCTTGGCATAGAGCAACTTGTTGGAGGGCGAGTCCTTGCCCAAGCGGTGCTCCGACGTGGAGCAGGAGTCCATGAAGGTCTGGGCCACCACCGACAAGCAGGCGTCCGTGATGCTGCTCTTGTGGATGTCGAACACGAACTGCGGGTTCTTGATCACGTTCACCCAGAAGCGCAGGGGCAGGCTAGACAGAGGGACAAAGGCCCGCAGCTCCCCAGTTTCCCCGTGCCACACCCTCCTGTCTGCTCACCTCCACAGGCCCACAGGCGGCAAGATGACACACACTGAGAGTTAGCGGCCTTTTCTTTAATTTTTGGCCTGACTTCAAGCAGTGAGAAGTAAGAGGGAATGGCATTCTGGCCTTGGTGATCTCAATGTTCCCCACACACACATTCACCCCCTGGGCCAGGCTTCCAGCATCTCTGCTCTGTGCCAGTGGTATCACCAGGTGAGCAGCCAGGCCCAGTCAGTCAAGGGCACCTCTGAGTGCGGGCAGCACTATCTGCATCCCAGCTGCCCAAACCCCTGGCAGAGTGACAGACCCTTGCTCTCCCTACTTGGTGGCACCATCGATGCCTAGCCACTGTCCTCCCCTGCTGGGATGAGCAGCCCAGCCCCAGCCCCCACTGTCACCCTGACCAAGGTCCCCAAGTACCAGCCAAGCCTCCTCTTCCCACCCAGCCCTGGCCTGGAGGGCCAGCGCACAGTGGTACCAGTTGCTCTTCCAGGTGTGGCGCACGTCGGGATCACTGATCTGCCGCTGGTCAGCCTGCTCGTCCAGGAAGTCAAACATGTACTTAATGGCCAGTGGCAGGGCTGAGCCCCGGTGTGCTGTGCTGAACACAGTTTCAAAGAGATCGTCCACGAACTTCTGCAGTGTACCCTGCAGGGGCACAGCAAGGGCACCAGCTGACAGGGAGCCATGGGGAAATGTTCCCACAGCAGGACAGATGGGGATGGAGAGGCCTGACAGCGAGTAGGGCTTCTCTGCCCGGCTAACAACACCCCTCAGATAGACTTCGCCTTGACCTCAGGGTGGTAGTTCCCATAGCCAAGGCCTTAAGACAGTCCCTTGGCATTGGAACAATCCAGTGGCCCCTTCCCCAGGCAGCCGGGGCCAGCCTGAGTGCCAAGTCCAGGACAGAAGGGACCCGCACTAAGGCCAGGATGGCACAGGGCAGGCGCACCTTGGTGGCCAGCAGCCGCGTCAGGTAGATCTCTGAGACCATCTTGCTGCCACGGTCACCCTCTCGGTGGTCGGCGTGGTCATGGTTCTTCACTAAGTGCCACAGCTTGGTTCCTGTCTCCTGATCCGGGGTGATCATGGGTGCCCGAGAGCGGAGGCTGTCAGGGCTGCTGGCCGTGCGAAGCAAGCTCTCTGGGGCAGGGGATGGTGTGCCCCCTTAGGCCAGTGGGCCAGC